GCTTAAGACAATCATTTCTGTGCTGAAAAATATATGTTAAAAGATTATAAAGATATATACGTGCTACTGTAAGTATTTTGTGTTTAACAAATATCTCACGACAGGAGGATCTGGACCGTATTTTAAATATAATGCGAATGATTCTTTTTGTAAGACAAACACTCTAGAGATCTCACTAGCCTGGCCCCACTCAGTAATGCCATATGAAATGACAGAGTGTACTCATGCATAGTAGACATCCATTAATGCTGAGGTGTTTAACATCCTCCCTAGCGTAAGTATTAAATACAGACTTTTTCCAAGTTTCTTACATACGGAATCAATTTGCTCTGTCCATCTTAAATTGCAATCAAAGCTTACACCTAAAAAAACAGTTTTTTTTGAAGTTACAACTATCTTGCATTGAAAACTGAAATTAAAATTTGACGGAATTTTTGGTTTCATAAAATATTCAACTTTTTTGTATTTATTATTAGTCTGTTTTTGAAGCACCATTGACTGAACTCATTAACCGAATCATTAATTTTTTCTTGAAGACGATCTTGCGATGAGTCAGCTAAAATGATATTTGTGTCGTCTGCATACAAAAGTAATTTTCCGTAGGATAAGTGTGCAGGCAAATCATTTATGAAAATCGAGAAAATAAGTGGTCCAAGGACGCTGCCTTGAGGTGTGCCCCAATCTAAATTGAATTCATCAGATTTTTTATCAGCGACAGTAACATAAAATTTTCTATTCTCTAAAAAGCTAACTAGCAATTGATTCAAACATCCGCGAATGCCAACATGATGAAGTTTATCGGCCAGAAATGACGAACATACACAATCAAAGGCCTGAGACAAGTCAAATTGGATACTCACTACGTAATTACCTAAATCAAGTTTATCACAAACATACTGAACATACTCGATAATGCTTGTTTCAGTTGAGTAGCCTGCCCTGAAACCATGTTGAGCATATGTGATAATAGCAAATTTAAGAAAGTAACTTTCAATTTTCATTGCAACCACTTTTTCAATGATTTTCGAGAAAATACTTAATAGTTAATTAGTGTACAGCACCAGCTGCTAAATAACAGATGGGACATCAAACAGCTTGAAAGTGCAATGGATCAGTTGTGTGGGTAGGATTGAATTTGCTGGCCCTGAAAACTGGTTGGTAGGCTAATTAGTTATGACCCCTCCACGGAATGGAGGAGATGCGGGTTCGAATCTTCCCGACGCCCATGTTTCCTTCTCAAAATCTGTTGTTTGATAAACGTGCACCACGTTTTTACATGCCCACGCAGTGATAACTCCCAGCTGCTTCCGCGATAAATCATTTTCTCTCCAGGGCCCCTATTCTTGACTTTAACAGAAAATGACCTTTTTTTCGTACTCCTCCGGTTTTCTATCGGTTCGAAAATACTGCATTCTTGAAAGGACTCGATAGAAGGAGAAAGGAAATCAAGACACAGGGTTACCAGGTTTTAGAAAACGTGTTAAACTAATCAAAATGAAAATAATATTGACAGTCAAAAGATTTTGGTCAAGATTTTCTCCTTATAATTTCATCTATGGAGCCGAAAACCTTAAAAAGCACATTACCAATGAACAAAAGGTCAAAATGATTGAACTTATCCGAGAGCTCCCCCAAATGTACCAGGGAAAATTCAATCATAGAGTAAAGGATACTGCTTTAGAATGACGAAAACTTAATATACTGAGTGACATATAAATCCGAACACCCAGTTTAAATGGTTTTATTTTAATAAAATTTTGTATCAGTACTTAATGAAGCATAATAAGTAAATGATAAAAATTTCAAAATGATTGCACTGCTTTAAAGCCCTTTGACCTTTAATAATGTGTGGATGCACCCTGATGTGCTACGCATTCTCCAACGCGCCTAGGCATGCTTCTGATCAGGTGGTCAATGTCCTCCTGTGGTGTCTCATTCCAGGCAACCACCAACTCCTCTCGAAGTGCTTCTAGAGTCTGAGGAGAACGTTGCAAATTGCAGTTGGGGATAAGTCGGGAGATCTTGGTGGTCATGGTAACAATGTGACATCATTATGTTGAAAGAAGTCTATTGTGACTCTTGCAACTTGTGGTCGGGCATTATCTTGTTGGAAAGTTGGATCTGCCAGGGTGTCAAGATAGGGTAAAAGATGGGATTCTAGAACTTCGTGGATATAACGCTGCGCGTTCATGTTACCTCTGATGAAGAATAAAGGTGACCTGGAACCATAAGCTATAGCACCCCAAACCATAACTCCAACAGTGTGATGAACATGTCTTTCAACAAAAAACTGTGGATTCCTCCTTTCACCACGTCGCCTTCTAACCCTGGCACGACCATCGTGCATGCCTAAACAAAATCGAGACTCGTCACTAAAGACAATACTGTTCTATTCCTGATCCCAGAGTGACCGTTGTCTGCACCACTCAAGGCGATTACGTCGGGGTTCTCGAGTTAAAGGGAGGACCCAGTGTGGCCGGTATGAAAACAAGCCAAAACTTCTCATTCGTCGGTAAACACCTCGCATGCCAATAGGTCTTCCGTGTTCTGCAAACCATTCATTTGCAATGGACCTGGTAGTGGAGAAACGGTCCCTTAAGGCCAATAATCTTAGGCGGCGATCTTCACGGTCTGTTGTTCTACGGCGGCGTCCAGTGCCCCTTGCTCTTTGCGTACGGCCTTCTCGAAGCCATGCCTGACAACACCTAACCACAGTGTCTACACTTCTTTGCACTCTAACTGCAATTGCCCGAAAAGAAAGTCCAGCTTCCCGAAGTCCCACTATACGGCCCCTATCAAACTCACTAAGTTGAAATCGTACAGGTCTTCGTACTCTAGGCATCGTATCAAATCGTCAAGAACCAAAATCCGCCAACGTTGATTCTTTACTGCGGCTGAAATATTCATTTTTAGAGCGTTAGTGAATTAAAAAAAGCAGTATAAAAACCGGAATGTCCAACTGATAAGGCTGAACATTTTTTCACTTGTTATTTACAGTAAGATAAATACATTCACCAACTTTTATTAAAATAAAACCATTTAAACTGGGTGTTCGGATTTATATGTCACTTAGTATATCTTGAAGTCAATATCTCCAGCAATTCATACACCAAATCTTTGGTTAACCTAAACATCTGTACAAATTTTCGAGCCAAAATTACGGAAGGATCTTGGTGCCCAAGAATATCTCTTTCAGTCTCCCATTCAACAACTGCCTCCTCTACATGCTAGTTAATAATATCGTTCCAATACATCAATTGGTTGAAATTAACCATTTTTGCAGTATGTTTAGCAGGAACGACAATAACAATTCCAAACACGTCAATTTTTAGATTATATAGCGCTATTTTCTAATTTTTTTTGGTTGGTACCAAGAAAAGACGCGACTTTCTAAAGTGAATTAATTCATTTCTATCACTTTTCGGTAGAATTGACTTCAAGAATACTTTTGCCACTTTCTCTCACAATTTCTACTGCTTCAAACCCAAGAAAAGAGGTCCAGGTCGACTTCGTAGTTCGGTTTTAACCCTTGAGTGCAAAGTTCTGCCAACTGCCGACATAATTGCTTTTTTACATCATCAAAACTGAACTGAAACTCTTAATTCACTTCTCTGTTGACATAGCGTTCCTCCTAACTAAATACACCGGAACTATTCACCGGTGGCGGGTCCGTACTGCGCCTCCGACCTACTTCCACCAACTTCCAACTTTGCATTCACGTCGCTAACATCTGCAACTTCCAAGTTCTCCAACCACCTATAAAGAAGTTAAACTCAATTATAGAGAAAACCATATACGCCGACATTTCGTTTATATCTGTATTCCGTTGGAATCCACGCAATAAAGGTGGGTAGGCTTGCGATAACGGGTACCATTCACCCTCGGATCTCCTCATAATAATTCCAAGTTTTCCAGAGAATATTAGGTTTCCAGCAGTTTTCTTGCGCTTTTCCGGACCTCGGAAACGATGCCCGAAATATCGTTCTCACCACCCGAAATCTAGCTGATGAAGATACTAGAAATGTGTAACATGCCTTGAAGGAAATTCATTGAGGTTGAACAAGACAGACTGACTAATAACCTTTACTCTACCCATTTTGAAAATCTGAACTACCCAAAACTATTTAAAACGTATTCTGGCAGCTGTGGTTAATAAAAACATATGTCATGGCTTTTATTTTTTCACAGCCACCTATGCGTTATAGACTTATTTTGCATTGAAATGAAAATAGTTTGATATGCTGTAATTGCAACATGTGTTATTTTTATGCTGCAAATTTGATTAGGAGTGATAAATTTGGGGATTTTTACTATATATTATCAAAATATTCATTGTTGATATTTTAAATCTATAACACCCTGCTACATTTTTATTATTTGTGTTTGATAAGAAAAAAACTAAGAGTTCAATAGTTGGGCTAACTGAAGTGGGAACGGGCTCGTATATCAGCTAATAGCTACTTTTGGTACCAGCCAGGGCTACATAAGATTAGCAAACGTAAACAAACGTATGCCGATGATCTTAAAATTTATACTCTGGTTAGCAACAGCACCGATTGTGAACGTCTCCAAGATAATCGCAACCGGATAATAATTTGGTGCGATAATAATAACCTATCCATGAATGCATACAAGTTAACCAGCATGACGCTTTCTAGAAAAGAGGATTCAAAGATCTCGGAGTCGTCTTTGACACAACCTTCAATATCAATCCGCATATGAATTATCTTTTAAATTCTGTAAATCAATGTCGGGGTTTTGTGTTGCACAACTCTCGTAATTTTGACATTGTAAATGCCCTATTCATGTTGTATAATGCATTTGTAATGTCAAAACTGGAATACGCTAGAGTTATTATTTGGAATTCCTGCTATGTGGCGACTTGTGAAACTACGAGGGGTCTTTTAAGTTTTGCATATGGAAATAAAACAACACGGTAGGTAGTTTTAAATTGTTTTTCGGAGTATTCTCCACGAAGACTAATACACATCTGCATGCGCTCAAAAATTTTCGAAGCACTTATTCCACTCGTTTGCTGGCAGATCCAAAACGGCATTTTTGAATGCGTCAACTGCTTCTTCTGGTGACTGGAACCTTTGACCACGCAGCCTGTTTTTGATTTTCGGGAAAGTAAAGAAATCGTTAGGACTTAGATTGAGACTATATGGAGGATGGTCCAATAATTCCACGTTTTCTTTCGTTAAATACTGCCTTGATCTTTGGGCTGTGTTCGAGCTTGCATTGTCTTGGTGGAGGATAATTCTTCTTTCGAGGTTGATTTTTCGAAGCTCGGTGATGACTTTTGGCAAAGAAATGGTGGTATACCAATCCGAAGTAACAGTTTTTTGCTCACTAAGAGGAATTGTTGCAATATGACCCGCTTTTGACACAAATGTTGCGACTATCTTTTTCGAAACAGCTCGAGAGCGGATGACTGTTGTTGGCTTTTCTTCACCTTATAACACCCAAACAGCCGACGGTCGTTTATTTTCTGGTTCATAACAGCAAATCCACGATTCATCACCACTAACAATGCTGTACACATTTTTTGAGTTTCCGGAATTGAAAGCGTGTTTTGACACCAACTAACTCTGGCTGCTTTCTGCTCTTCAGTCAACAGGTATCCAACGAGAAACTAATTTTCTTACTCCTCATTCTTTAAGCAAACTTTTTTGAAGGTCTTTGAGATCTTCAGGGTTGCCTCAATCTCGCGATATGTCACATGACTGTCTTCAATGATGAGTTTGCGCACAGCATCGACGTTTTCCTGGGTGACTGCCGTTTTTGGTCCACCCACCCTGGAATCGTCACTAAGACTCACCCGTCCACGTTTAAATTTTCCATACCAACGAAGAGTTGTCGACTGATGTGGCGCTTCGTTGCCGAAAACAGACAGTAACTCAGCAAGGCATTCTTGTTGCAATAATTGTCTCTGAAAGTTGTAATATATTATGGCGCGAAAATTTTCTCGGTTGAGTTCCATTTTTCTAATGACTTGGTGACATTTAAAAATGAACTGTAGTGAGAACGTTGCACGTATTGTATCGAAACTTTGAATGTAAGTTAACTAAAGAGTGAGGTTAAGATTCAGTACTGACGTTCGATCCGCGCGCCCTACTATGTTTCTATATGCAAAACTTAAAAGACATCCCTCGTACAACGCAAGTTTGTAAAATATCTGTCCTACAGGATAGATGGTATTTATCCAGAAATAGTTGTTCCTCAAGATGTATTGTTAAATAGGTACGATATCCTAAGTTTAGACCACAGAAGAAGAATGCACTCGTTAATATTCTTATACACGGCTTTTGGCAACCAATACCATTGACCGAACATTCGGTTGCCTGTCGTTTAATATACCAAGATGTCCCTCCAGAAACATCCTAACGTTTTATTTTCCATCTTCCAGGACCAACGTACCGCTGCATTCTCCCTTATATTCCATGTGTAACTGTTTGAACAATCTACAAATCAGAATTGATATATTTGTATCAAATGTGACCTCTATTAAGATCCTCTACAAATCGGTTATATAATTGTGTAGGTTCCTGAATGTTATATTTCTCCATGTTTGTACTATGTAAACTTCTGTTTCCCCCACCAATAGTTGGTTGATCTGTTGGTGATGTAAGTAAATAAATAAAATAAATAAATAAATTAGGAGGTCTAAGCTGTATGTTGAACACTATAGCTGGAAAGAAACGGCAGTGCATAGGTGCATGGTTAGAATATGTGTGGTAATATTCTGTGTTGATGATACTTCAATTGGTTCCTTGCCTCAAATAATATATTTACTTGATATGTATGCAAAGCTGAAAGATAGTTGCACATACGATTTTTCAACCTGGAAGGCAAATTTGTTGAATTCCAGAAAGCCATAAGGAAAGAAAATCCCTGGTTGGTGAAGTGTATTGAACCAGCAATACAGGAATATTTATAAACGTGAAAAAGTTATTTCGTTCCACATTAATTTCTATTTTCAGTCAGTGTAAAAGTGTTTTGTATGTAAAGCGTCATTCCTATTTTTTCTGCGATGTGGACTAACTGCACCCAACGCGTCTCAACAGACTTTTTCGGCATTCTGCAACCAACAAAGCATGGCATTGAGCGTGTCTTGTCGTCCATAGATGGACACGTGTAGCGGTCATAGCGAGCAAATGCGGAATGTACTATATTTGCCCACTAGGAACTGCCTAGGAATTAAGTTGACATTTTGTCGTTTTTTTTTTTGTCGATTTTTAGGTTTTCTACATGACTGATCAAGATAGCAGGGTCTTTGGGGTAATAAAATTGACGCGCAGATATTATATTTTAGCGCAGAAACTGACAATTGAAAACTTCATCAAAGTGGCTGGGTGCGATTTAGGTACATTTCTACTTCTTACTCCAATTGGCATACCAACACTTATTTAAGTATGTAAAAGCAATAATATATGTTCATTTTCACTGCAAAAGTGCATAACCAGTCTCTCGACGGGTTATTGTATATTTCAATGTCTATGTGATCTTTGCAAAACGTTTTTTCAAGTGAAACTGAGAAAGAATTACATTTTATGTTGAAAAATAACAAAGTTATTTAGCGACTAGTGGGTTCACCGCGGTATGTTGTGCATTCACTTACTCTTCGAGGTATGCACGGGGAAGTGAGCCATCAATTTTACTTGATTTTGCTTCATTTTATCTGATTTTTACCAATTTTAATTCTGTTATCCAGTCAGTTATCTATATTACGTTATATTCTTCTTCATGTTTTCAGCGCTAACTTTTTAATTCGTTGTATTTTGTTATTTTTTACAATTACGTGTCTTTCATAATATGCGTTTTCTTTTTATAAACGTGGTCTGCGTATATGAATAGTGTTGTTGTTTTTATCAACCACCTGTAAGAACGATTTTTGTTCCAGTGGAGTAACTTTTATTTATTCTTTCACTGGTACGTCTTGCAAGTTTTTTGGTGATAAATTGAATAAACAATATTTATCTATCTGTCTATCTAATAATAACAATAATAATAAAATAAATGGACTTTATTTCGTACCTAATTAAAGTACAAAAAAGGCGAAGTGTCGCTAAGATCAGCGTTTTCCAACTTGACCTTTGAAAGAAGAAAAAAATATACAATAAAAAATTCCACCAATAAAAATATATCCATCATTCTCAATAATTACTAAATAATTAACAACACAAAAAAACAGGATTACAAGAATAGTCCATATTTCTAGCATTTTGTATTCATCATCAGACCTCTACTTGTAGTTGTAGTTTAAGCCTCTTTTAAAATTAAATAATGTATAGTTTATAGAATTTAAAGGTATCACTAACATATTTCTATTCCTTGTATTCAGTTCATTTATGTCACTACATCGTGTTAACTTATTATGCAAATATTGTGGTTGTTTGGTAGCTAAGAACTTGTGTGAGTGTCAATAAGTGAAGCTTTTGCATGCCTTTAATCTGCAGAATACCAAGTTCCTTAAATTTATAAGAAATATGATCAAACTTTCGTATTCCGCAAGAAAATCTGACGCACGAATTCTGAATAAGCTGTAATTTGCTTTGTTCACTATATGACAGAGCGGGGTATGACTTTGAAGTTGAGTCATTAATTTTCAGATAATGATTGTAGAAGGAAGATAAACCAAAATATGTGTGTAAAAATAAAAAAAAATTAAAAAAAATTTTTTACCTTGTTTTATAAAGTATCCTCGACAAGTATTTCAGTGCGGACCTGTATTTGATCGTGAGGTCCCCTGTGAGGTCTTAAGTCACCTGATTCACGAGCCCGTTGTACTACATTAACAAAGGCACGAGGGGTTGGTTGCACTCGATTGGGAAACCGATCCGCATAAACATGTGCCATTTTTTATTTCGTTTGAGCCACGCAACAGACACTATTCACACGCGACTGACACTGACTGTATGTATAACTGAAATGAATAAAATAATAAACTGTACAAACATCGTTCCAAATTCTTTCGCTTTTTTGTTCCGATGCGATGAACCGGTAAGGCGGATTATATCCGTTGTTGCCAAACACGAGCACATGATATTGAGACAGGGCGGTACTCAAACTTCCAAAGGGCTATAACTTTGTTACTTTAATTTTACCAGAAAAATGGTAAAGGAAAAAAACATTTCTTTTGATCAGATCTATTCACTGTTAAAATAAATGACTCAACTTCGAAGTCACCCTGTATACTGTCACAATAACTGATCTTTGATATATGTTTCGCTCAGTTTCAGCTTTACTGAAGTATATATTATTTGCCTATGTGGATAAAACTGCGACAAAATGCAGTACGATGCACTACATAATGAATTTACATGTTTTTTGTATTTTAGTTCTGTGTCAATCCAGAGTCCCAGGTTTTTACACTCATTCATTATAGGAAGCAGGCAATCATAGATTTTAAGGTTAATTTCCATCTCGATCAATGTTCGCTATGCTAGGAATGAATTAGTTGCTGACACCTTGAGGGATGTCATTCTAGGCTTCTAGAAACCGGTGATGGAGTCAACTGGATTATTTATTGGCTAAAAAGTTAAATTACTTGGGTCGTCCCACACATGTTTGATCGGTGATAGGTCAGGCGTTCGAGTAGGCCATGGGGGCAGGTGCACATTATTTTCTTGTGAGCACCTTATAGTATCCTTACTGTGCGAGGACGTGTATTGTCTTGCTGAGAAACTGCTTAAACTAATCTTCGCAAATCTGGCACTTGAAAAGCCCGCAGTTGTTCCGTGTACATAGAAATTTATGTCGATAAGAACTAAAGGTGACCAACTACCGTTGTATTGTACTGCATTATATTTACAAATAATAACAAATGAGATCGTGAATGAGCTGATTAAAGATATACCCGAAATCGTACTGTCTATCATAAATGAATGGTTGATAACGGTCTTTTCAAAAAGGTAGAAGGGAGATGGTTTGGCACTCATCCCAAAAATCCCGAAACGCAGCGATAAAAAAGTCAAATACAGACCTCTGTGTATGACGACTTCACCTGGAAAGCGTCTAGAATGACGTCGAGGAAAAGAACGGGCTCTCTCCCTCGCAATATGGTTTCTGAAAGATGAAGTCTGCCATAGATGCACTTAGTGAAGTGACACACCTGGCAAAAGTAGTGGATAGCGTTATGATTTCTTTTGACGTTAAGAATGCCTTTAACACGCTACAATGACAGAAAGTTGTTGAATCTCTCGACAAGCTATCTGTTGAACATACTAAGGTGCTTCTTTGACGAGAGGACACTTGTGGCAGGACAAAAGAAGATCAAAACAACCATGGGAGTGCCGCAGGGCTCCATTATAGGGCCGTTGCTTTGTATCGTGTTCTACAATCGTGTTCCTCGGTTCCAGATGCAGCCGGGAATTCGCTTGACAGGGTATGCTAACGAAGTAATTATACTTTCTGTCAGACAGAAGCTGACTTCATTTATTGTCAATGTTGATAATTCAGAGGTTAGGAGCCAAAATGCAATTAGGTATCTGGATGTGTGGCTTGACAAAGATCTGAGAATGATTTAACATTTAAGGCGCACCACTGACAAGGTGAATAAGCTCGCTGTATCTCTGATACGGCTAATGCCATCTGACAGAGGCTCCAGTAGTGAGAAATGCAGATTTTGGCAGGGATAGCGAACACGATTATGCTGTACGGAGCTCCTAAACGAGTATACAGGAAGGCTTTGAGGAAAAAAATATATAGACATCTAATAACGACAAGCCAGTGAAAAGTAGTGCTACACGTGGTATGCGCCTACAGAACGCCGTCGATCGATGTAGTGCTGGTGGTAGGTGGTATTCCGCCAATTGATTTGCTAGCTTTGGTGCATGCACCAGAAAGGTGATCCCAGAGAATTTTGTCATGCATATACGCAAGGGAAGATGGGTTGGTATTCAAAATATAGTGAGACGAATGATGCTGAGTAAGTAAAAATAGACCAAGGAACCAATAGTAGGCTTGTATTATAGGTACAAAAGTA